TTGACAACTTGTTCATAGTTGGCCGCACAACATTGTTCACGCCTGTCGATATCAACTTGCAACAACCTGTGCGTTTTTAGCCGTGTATATTACCTACATGCGTAAAAATGACAACCTGTTCCCGGATGATATCGACAAGCTTGAACTGTTGCTGAAGCATTGTTACGACAGAACAATACTGTCGTAACAACATTGTTGACCGCTTGTTCTGCATGAGGGTGCACGGCACTTTACAACAATCGGGATATTATTTTCCTATAACTATGTTTATCCAACTTTCTCTGTGTCGACTACAAAGCACGATTGTTTACTTTTTAGTATCGAAATAAGACCAATTTCATACGCCGCTTCATCCATGCGTCGAATTTTACTTTAAGTATATTAAGTATGCAAATCACAACTCTGTTAAGCCTAGTTTCCATAAGGTCGTTAGCTGTCGTTACCTGTCTGCGTCGTTAGCTGTCGGCGTCTTTGGAATAAACTTGAAAGACCGATAACGATTGAGAGAAACCAAAAAACGACAGTGTCGCTGTCTCTTCGTCTTTTCTTGCACAGCCGTTGAGGTCACCTGCAACGCCAATGACCACAAAAACGAGAATTACGTAAAACGCGAGACCAATCCAATACCATCTGTTGCCAGTGTGCTCTACCAAAAACTTCATAAGGACCAACGCTTGTACGGCATACATCAGGAAAGCTACAAGCCACCCAAATGGCGATAAATTAGGTCTCGGAGACATAGTATTACCAATATGATAACGAAACAAAAGCAATTCTTCCGCTCTGGTGATTCCTAGTGTGGCAACGGTCAATAATGGTTTTGGTTTTAAGCCAAGGCAGAACAGCTTTTGTGTTTATAGGTCTCCTTTATCCAGTCCCAGTCTTCTCGCATATGAAAAAAAACTGAAATAAAAATAGAAGACACAGGAGTCCAGGTTGAGTAGTGTTGCTCAAATATTGATTCAATACATTACCTCGGGCTGACCAATTCATTTGATCAAGTTCCTCGAGATATTCATACACTTCCTGTGAAAGAGCCAATTCCAAGTATTTGATCATTTCTGGTCACTTCCT